TTGGATCTAAAGGCACACACAGACTGAAGTGAAGGCATGGAAAAAGATATTTCCATTCAAATGGAAACAAAAAGAAAGCTGGAGTAGCAATACTCATATCACACCAGTCAGATTGGCTATTATTAAAAAGAAAAAATAACAAGGGTTGTAAAGATGTGGAGTAAAGGGAAACCTTGTGCACTGCTGGTGGGAATGTCATTTGGTGCAGCCACTATGGAAAACAGCAGGGAGGTTCCTCAAAAAATTAAAAATAGAACTATCATGGAATCCAGCAATTCCACTTCAGGATATTTGTACAAAGAAAATGAAAATATATGCACCCCTATGTTCATTATAGCATTATTTATGATAGCCAAGGTATGGAAACAACCCAAGTGTCTGTCTATAGATGAATTGATAACAATTTATGGTGATAGTTCAGAACTAAACTTACTGCGAAGATCATCTCATAATATGTAGAAATATTGAATCACTTCAATGTGCACCTGAAACTGTTAAGTTGTATGTCAGTTCTACTTTAATTAAAAAAAATTATGTCAGGATTTCAGGTTAGGTTTGTCTGATTTCAAAGCTCAGGTTTGTTGTTTGTGATTCCTCCATTTCTTGGGATTTCCTCCATGAATATCCTATTCAAACTGAACTCTTCTTTATTCCACAAATGTGCTTAATTCTTTTCCATCTCTCTACCTTTTGCTGATCATGCCTCCAACTCTTGGAATGCCCTTCCCACTTATTTCTTCATGTGTGAATTTTACTAATCTGTCAGAGACTTGCTTAGTTCACCTCTGCCATGACACTTTTATTGAGTCCCCAGCCCCAGAAGTAATCTCAGTTCTATTTGTCAGCTACATAGCAATTAGCATGGTCTCTGGTGCACTTCAGCTGCTCCGTACATACTAGTGAGTGAGTTAAAATTCTACTCTGTAACATTGCATATGAATTATTTTGCATTCATAGAATACTTTTCTTTTAAAAGTTCAAGTAAGCTAGAAGATTTTTTTCTTAGCTTGTTATTTTAGAGGAAATGGACAATCATAAAGCATAATCTAATGTGTAGTAAGAGAAGCTGAATAGAAGTCTCATTTCAATCTGAAATTGCAAGTATATTTAGTAATTTTCTCTAAACAGTTTTTACACACCTCCTTTCCTTTTTCATCAGCAATTGTTTTGTAGCTGCAGGTGTAAAATGTAGGCTGACCATGTAAAACTGTCTTGAACACAGGCTGTCATTTTGCAAATTCCACTGGATAATTGGTATTTTTATAAATAATACAATAAAGGATATTTAAAATATGCTTCTCATTTGGATTTTCTCCAAAAGAGACCATGGAATTACAAAACCAAATCACCTTTCTCCATGTCATTAGGGCATTTTTGATGGTTGCCACTGACATACAGGTTTTGCTTTATTCACTTTATTTCATTTAATATTTTTAAAGGCATTGAGCTGAGAGCTATGGAGGGGATAAGGGAATATGTGTCTGCAAAAATATGACCTAGTCTGGAAGAGATAATGAACAATGCAAGGTAGTACAAAATCAAATTATCAGTGTAATGGTACAAATCATGGATTCAGAAGATGGAGACAGTTATAATATTTTCTAAATATTTTGGTACTTGATTACCCACTGCCTTGTACTATGGATTAAATTACATATACGAAGCATTCAAAAAGCTTTTGCCTTACAGTCTGCATAAAGTACCCCTTCTGACTTTGATGCAAATGTAGTCAACAGGCTACCTTGCAGTGAATCATTCCTCAAGGGATCATGTCTTATTCCTGGAATTAAATTCTGTCTCTATCAATTTGTGTTAATAGCTAAAAGATACTGGTCTCAAATTCTACCCAAGTACGCACAGTCTTTACTCTAGATGTATCATCTGAAAAGCATTGTTGTTTATTTTTTTTGCTTTTCCCTCTGGATTTTCTTTCCTCTTCTGTGTTTTATTTTAATTCTTAGGATATTTGGTTTGATAGGGAAAAATAAAACCCATATTATGTGCCTGATAACATGCTAGATATTTTTCATATATATTTTCTCATTTTATCTGCACACATAAACAATAACTTTCTTCTAGATAGTTATTAATCATTCTCATTTTTAAAGTTAAGAAAACTGATGTCCAGAGAGGTTAAATAAATTGTCTAACATTGAACAGGCAAGTTTTCCATAGACTTCAGCGTCTGGTATTAGAATGTAAGTTTGGATACTTTTTTGGATTAACATTTACTAAAAGACAAAGAATTAAATTTAATGTTGTATATCTTGTGTTAATAAAAGCTGAGTAACAAGTAGCACAGAACTGAAGAGAAAGGAAATGGAACAAAATACCATGAGGGAGAGTCAGAGACACAGAAGCAGATCCATGAAGACTACAGATATTGGAATTATTGGGCACAGATATAAAAAAAAAATCTGCTTGCTATTTTCTACTAAATAAACGCAAGCTTGAAATTGTTAACTGAGAAATGCCAAATGGTGACACTGTATATTTGAAAAAGAACCAAATAGAAATTTTAGAAATGTGAAGTATAAGTCAAATTATGAAAATGGTTTGATAGCAGACTAGACACTGCTGAAGAAAGAGCCAATAAACTGGAAAATGAGTATAAAAAACTATTCAGAATGCAACACAGAGAGACAACAATGAAATCTACGAAAAGGAGAATAAATAATGAGAGCAAAGTCTCTAACATTATTTCACTGGAGTTCAATAAACATGAGCTATTATTATTACTATGTCACTTCTTGCTTAAATATCTTCAATATTTCTCATTGCCTATAGAATTAAATATCAACTTATATACTAATAAAACTTCCTTGTAATTAAACTTACCTCCAGCTTTTTCCCAACATAACAGCTTTGTCTATGCTCTTTTCACCTCCATGCCCTTCCTTAAGTTTTATGTTCCATCCCAGCTTTCTTGCCTGAAAACAGAAGCCTTTCACAGCCCTCTTCTTCCCTAGCCACAGTCTGATGATTGCTCCTCCTCTTGCTGTTTCATCATGCTTCCTTTATCTGTTTTCAAATCTCAAATTATATTGCATTATACTTTGTCTACATGTCTGATGTCACATTTGAGTGTATACTTCTTAAGGGCTTGGATTTTTAAAAATTTTATTAAACTTTATTTTTTAAAGCAGCTTTAGGTTCCCAGAAAAATCAAGCAGAAGGTATAGAGATTTCTCCTGTACCCCGACCCCACACGTGCACAGCTTCCCCCACTATCAACATTACCCACCATAGTGGTACATTTGTTACAATCAGTGAACCTACATTGACCCACCATTATCATCCAATCTCCACATACACAATGCTAGGGTTCACTCTTGATGCTGTACATTCTATGGGTTTGGACAAATGTATAATGACATGTATCCACCACTGTTGTATCACACAGAATAGTTTTACTGCCCTGCAAATCCTCTGTGCTCCACCTATTCATCCTTCCCTACCCTCTACCCTCTGCCTAGACATTCTTTTTAATTTATCCTTAGAACATAACATAATACCTGACATAGAGTTGTCCCCAAATAAATGTTTTTAGATGTATGGTTGAATGAATGAAAGGGAGAGACAAATTGAAAAGAATCAGTGCTTCTTTTCATTGTCTTGCTGACTGATATTTTATCTCTGTTTCAATATTTACTCATACCAATTCTATTCTAGTCAGAAGACCACCCCTACATTACTATCTTTCAGAACTCTGGGTATTCTTGAGATGCTAATTCAAATCTCACCTAATCCATTAAACCTGAGTCAAGAGTAAGCTCTGGATACTTTTAAGACTTATTTAATAAATGATCTATTTAATTCAATATGTCACATTTGTATTTTTTTTTTTTTTTTACAAACCTGTCTGGACTCCCCAGTGTAACTGAATTATCTTTTTATATGATGGGTAGGGTTTTCATCCCCTCATTTTTTATAAGCAAGAGGTGTCTTCATAAATTATTACTTTTCACTTGGGATTGTAGACAATGGCCGTGGAACAGAGAAACTTGCTGATCTATAAAGAATTCAATCTCAGTCTCTTTTGTACCAATTCAACTGTCTAGGATAGAAAATTATTGGGAACTAATTAAAAACAAGGAATTTTTTTTTTTTTTTTTTTAGATTTGAGTTTGCAACGGTTTCCATACAAAGCTGTAGAGGATTGCCAAATTGTCATTAAAATAATACAACTTTTATGTGCTAGCAAGAGTAATTTTTACAACTCTTCCATCCTTTTCCAAGCATATTAAACATTTTTAAACTGCATCTTTTTTTTGTTATTTTGTCTTGATAAAAATTTAAGAAAAAAGTTTTATGCATGCTGCTGATTTTAAAGTCATCACTTTATTCCTCCTCCGACCCTCAATACTAAACATAAGGGAGAGATTTTTGAAATTTCATTCAATTAGTTTGACTATATAAGAAGATGTGTTTATCTGGGTGCGATAGTTTTGTGTCAGTCTACATTGTAAAACTATAGTGCACAAATGTCAGTTTTTCCTCAGGTTAATTCACTTGGATGCCTCTCAATAGTTTGAGGGATTTCTGGGAAAAGTGCCTTGAGGAGGCTTGAATTTGGGTTTTATGACTCAGGGAGTTACAAAACTTCCACTTTAATAAAGATCAATACCCCTTTGAAAGATTATGGGGAAAACTTAGCCCATTCATATAAAAAATCATATTCTTTTTAGTTAAGCTGCAGTTATGGCCGTTTGTATAATAATGGCAGTCTTAATAGCTGTGTTGGGTGATCTATCATTATGAAGTGTATAACACTCTTCCTTCTTGGAATAATACTACAGGGTATGATATTTACCATTCCAAAGGAAAGCAAAACATTCAATAAACGTTATCTTTACAATATACTGCTGTGCGTATTCCTTATTATGATCTTGTAATTGATACCAGTTTTAAGTTGAAAACTCAACTCATGTTCACTAATTTCAAGTCTTAAAAGGTAAACTGAGTGATTAGGTTTATGGCAGTTCTATTTTTATTCACAGATAATGCGTCTGAGGTAGCAATTACCGCTCCAGGAAGTAGTAACCATAGAAACAGCTCGACAGGGCCAACACCTGACTGCTCACCTCCATCCCCTGACACTGCCCTCAAAAATATCGTAAAAGTTATTCGACCCCAGGTAAGTGCCCAGAATGACATCATCTGCAGTAGCATATTTTTTTTTAATCATTGCATGTATACTACTTATAATGCAATGTCTGCACTATTTTATGATATGCAAATACATTTTTAGATTAAAAGAAGGGACTTGGAGGAGGATGTTTCCTTCCTTGGAGTTAATGATACACATTGAAATCTGTATTATTTTCGGAATAATGAATTTGTATATTACATGAAAAAACAAGGGAAATTTAGAAAAATGGCTGTTTCACATCATTTTCCTCTCACAGTTTAGTAATTATGCTCCAATTACTGAGCTATTACATGTTTTCCGGGTTTTCCAGATTCTTTTGTCTTCACTTCTCTGGACGTGCTGCATTATTTGTGATCACTTCTCTATCTTCCAGCCTAAGTTGTTTTGATAATTTTCTTTAAATTCTCTATTCCTTATGGTTTCCAACTAATTTTGTCTGTGTTTAATATTGCACCTCTCATTGCTCCTTATTTTTCTCCAGTGCTCACTTTCCTCTAGCTTGTCTCCCTCTATCTTTTGTTCTTTTTTTCAATTTCTGTCATTTGTATGTATGGGTTTCTTTCTCTTCCCTCTTCTCTTTCAGTTGGATTTCCCAGTAGGCGGTTTGCAGGCAAGCTTTAGAAATATCATTGGGACAAGCTGTTCTGTGATATTTCATTGAAAATAGCACTTATAAAGCTGTTTGCATTACATTTTTGCCAACAGATGGACTCAGAACATGGAATTGGTGGTGTTCTCAACCTGGCTCATTCTGAATGGGCCTCATAAAATCCAAGAGAGGGGGACTTTGGATCCAATCGATGCCATTCACCATCTACTTAGATATATAGTATGAACAAATCCTTGGAGCCAATTTGTAAGACAAATGTCTCTTTTTAAGACTGTTTTGGTCTAAATGAGCAATGATTTGCTTAATATCTACCTTCTTCAATATGATTTATTTTAGTTTATTTTCATTATAATCATCCTCATGAATAAAATGGCATTTTAACTTCACATATTCACTGTAGTTTAGAGAACACTTTCACATAAACTGTTTCATTTAAACTTCATTAATTTCAAGGGAATGTAATATTGTAGTGCTATGGATAAGGATATTGACACTCCAAAGAGGCTAAATTGTGCAACTGATTCAAAGTTCCTTTTCTTTTTTTCTTAATGTAATATTTGTCTCCTCCAGTCCTGCTCAGAGGTTTAGAAAAATCTTCTTGAGGTTGTACAATATCTTTATGAGAATGGAACTTACAGGTTCATTTAGGCAAGATACTATTTCACAAAGTGTCCAACTATGTGGAGGAGGAAATATCTTCAAAGATCCCTTCTTTCTTTTCAGAAAAATTTGATCTAATTCATTTGCTTCAAGAAATAAACCTCACTAAAGCCAGATTTAGATGCTAAATGTCACATTTATCTTCACTGGTTCTCTCATTATATGAAGATGTTTCTGGTGTTATTTTGTAGCCATTACATTTTCAGCATTTTTAATTACTTAGGTAGGAGATTATCTTATATATAAGTTAATGACATCCATTACTAAAGACATTTATTTTTATATCAACATAAATTATCTAATATAAATGAATTTGGTCATTAAATGGATTAAAAAAGCAGATTTTCTTTCTACATATTTGTCATCTAATCAACTCGAAGGGATCTTACTCCATAAGTCCTTCTTTGCATTCTCTATTCTATTCTATTTTATTTTATTTTATTTTGGTAAATTGAAAAAAAGTAGCAGTAGCCAGAAACTCCATTTTGACTCAATTCCTTGGTTCTGTCTGTTATTAAATGTTTATGAAGGCAACTGATTCCACCTTCCTTTCTTAGATGTTATAATGATGATTTAGGAAGGAAAAAAAATGAAGTGAGAAAGTCAGTAAACTAAGGTGATGGCATTTAAATTTGAGCCAATGCAGCCTGAAGTATGTATGTAATAGAAGAGTAGCAGCTAGGGTGTATAGTTGGGAAAGAATATAACCTCAGGTGGATCACTGTTCCTTTTGCCTCAGAGACTTTGGTGCTTTACCTATTTCTTCTTATGAGTTCTGATCTTCTGGGCTCCATATTCATTGGAAAGGGCAGGGAATAGAAAGTATTCTAGTGGAAGTGGAAGTAATTACAAGGGAATATAAGTAGGATATGTGATTTCAGGAAGGGGATTGGAGACTAGAGGGTGTGGATGGGGGACAGCTAGGTGGATAAAATAGTGGATTCCCCTGTGTGTTCTGACAAGTCACAGGTGTGTCAGGGATGAAACATTGTCAAGAGCTAACTATTCCAAAGAAAAGATAATTATTGGTTAGCTTCTATAAGAGCCCATATTTTGATCACAGGTTTAATCCTCTAAAGTGTCTGCTAATTCTGGCTTTATGTGTAGAAATGCAAGAAATGTGAAGTTAGATTGACTTGTGGTATTCAAACACTTTTTTTTTCATTTACTAATCAGACATTAATAACATGGTTGAAATGATCGTTTTACTCTTAAAACTGGGGATAAGCCTTGGAAATAACAACTCTTATCCATGAATTTACATTTATGTGCCCAGGTATTAGCAGATGTGTTCAGTCTTATTGTGAGAAGAATGATCTAGAACAGATGAGAGATGAAAACAGAACTTTCATCTCATTCACTGCAAATAGAGACTGCTTAGATAGAGCAAGTTAGGTTACTTCCTGTTTGCCTCATGCATGCCTTTGCCTAATTTACTTTCCATAACTCTACCTGTAAATGGAGAATATCCATTGTAACCAAGGAGTCCTTGCTGTCACAATGAGGTAGGCCTGATTACATATTGCATGTGTTTCTGATTAGTGTATTAATTACTTGAAAGCTACCAACTTGTGGTGCTTTAAGTTTGATTTTATTCAGCATATTTATTAACTCACTAAGTCACAGCTGTTAGTTCTGCATCTTGTGTTTGATCTTTTTACCTTTGCTTCTTTGGGCTCTTTCATGTCTTAAAATTCTCCAGATTGTGAAGCATTCTATTTTCTATTCACAGAGACTGAAATATTTATACACTACTGGTTACTCTTTGTTTCTCTCCAGTATAGTGACCCACAAGGCTGAGTTTCTCTATTTAGATGAATTCACAAGGCTGGGTTTATTTACTTATACTTGAAAATAAAATTATTTTGAAACTTGAAAAAGTACTTCAAAATACTTGAAAAAATATTTCTGTTAAAAAAAATTTTAGGTGGGGCGCCTGGGTGGCTCAGTCGTTAAGTGTCTGCCTTCAGCTCAGGTCATGATCCCAGGGTCCTGGGATGGAGCTCTGCATCAGACTTCCTGCTGGGGGTTGGGGGGAAGCCTGCTTCTCCCTCTCCCACTCCCCCTGCTTGTGTTCCCTCTCTCTCTGTGTCTCTGTCAAATAAATAAAATCTTAAAAAAAAAATTTAGGTAAGTCTATTGATACACTTCTTTCTACTGATTATATGCTACTTGCAATAAGCTTTTTTTTTTTAATGTTTTCCGGTGAAACATCTTTTTTTCTCCCTAACTGAAGAATAAAACACAATTTGATGAATTTTGACCATTTGTATATGTAAGTGTAACCACCACTCAAAGCAAGATATTAAAACATTGTCATCATCCCAGAAAGTTACTTCATGCCTCTTTCCAATCAACTATACCCAGTCCCACCTTAAAAGCAACCTCTGATTATTATCACCATAGATTATGATTGTCTATTCTTGGACTCTATATACATGGAATCCTAAAGTGTGTGTGTGTTTTATGTATGTCAGTGTCTGACTTCTTTCACTTAACATAATGTTTTTGGGATTTGCTCATATTGTTCCTTTATTGCTGAGTAGTATTCTCTTGGGTTAGTATAGTACAATTTGTTTATCCATTTTCCTATTGATTGATACTTGTGTTGTTTTCCTGCTGTTTGTTATTTTGAATGAATATGCTGTAAATACTCACATTCGCATCTTTTTATGAACATATATGTTCGTATAGATACCAAAGAGTGGAATTGTTGGGTCATAGGTAGATGAGTAAATACTTTATAAGAAATTTCCCAAGAATTTTCCTGAGTAGTTGTTCCATTTTATAATCCCTAACAGAAATGTGTGAGAATTTTAGTTTCTCTACATTCCCTCAAACATTTGGTGTATTAGACTTTTAAATTTTTATATTTTAGCCATTCTTATGGGTGCGAAAAGATTTCTCATTATGGTTTTAATTTGCATTTTTCTGGTGACTAATAATGTTATGCACCTTTTCCTGTGGTTATTGCCCATTCTTAGATCTTTTGAGGAGTGCCTATGCAAGTCCTTTAATGGGCTTAATTTCCTACTTACTGATTTGTAGTAATTCTTTATAAATTGTCCTGTAGTTCCTAGAGATATGGGTCCTTTGTTAGGTTTATGTACTGCAAATATTTTTCTTCGGTCTGTGTTTTGACTAAATATTTTTAATGGTGACTTTGGTGACCAGAATGTTTTAATTTTGGTGATATCCAATTTAATTTTTTTTCTTTCATGGTTAGTGCTTTCTGTGTCTTGTCCAGCTTTTGAATATATGTACCCATATTTTTTTTAATAGAAGCTTTCTGGTTCTTGCTTTTATATTTAGTTCTATGATCCATCTCAAATTGTTGTTGTATGGTGTGAGGTAGGAGTTGAGATTCATTTTTTTTTCCTACATGGAAAAAACTTTCCTGTCCTCATTGAGTTGAGTTAATCCTTTAGTATTGTTTATTATTTTCACTTTCCAATTGTTTATAGTTGGTATATAGAAATGCAATTGAATTTTATGTTATCCTTGTATCCTGCCACCTGGATAATTTCATTTAAAAGTTATAGTAGTTTTTGTTTTTAAATAAGTTTCTTAGAGTTCTTTCTGTCATTGAGAATAATGATGGTTTTATTTCTTTTCTAGTCTTTATACCTTTTATTTCTTTTTCTTACTGCTGTGACTGCAGTGCAATGGTGTATAGAAGTGGTAAAACCAAAACTCCTTGCTTTATTCTCTTTGA